CTTGAGGCAGCTGCGTGTGCAGGTTGCGCCATTGGGGTTGAGGTGTACGTACACCCCAGGCCTGGGGCTGCCTGCAGGCGGTGTCAGTGGGGGTGTGGGGCGAGGCTGGAGCTGGGGATCTTTGTCTCCTGGCCAAGCTGCTGCTGCTGCTGCTGCTGCTGCTGCTGCTGCGCTTGTGTCCCCGCAGCGGCGCTGCTGCTGGTGCTGCTAGGGCTGAGCTCTTGGGGAGTGGCGCCGCCTACTATCCGGGGGAAGACGCAAAAGAACACAAATGGAAAAGTCTACTGCGTTCAAAACTTAAACAAAATTAAAGAAAGGAAAAAGCAGGTCAAGACAAGCAGTGGTCCACTGGTCCACTCCGGCCGCAGGCGACAGCAGCAGGAGAAACGGGGAGGGGGGCCTCGGGGAACCGCCTGTGCAACTTTTAAGAATGAAATAGTTAATTAAAAGCAAATTGCAAAGCCGCAAAAGGGAAAAAGTCAATTTGTGAAGCAGCTTTAGGCGCAGCAAGTCAGCAGCAGCAGCAGCGGCTGCTGCCGCCGCGGTGGCTGAGCCGACCGGCGCCGCCGAGCTCCACGGACTCGCAAACACATTTCAGAAAAGTATTCAACTTAACATTTAATTAAAAACTTTTAATTTAAATGTGGTTGGCGCTTCGTTTTGCGCAGAGATCGCCCGCGAAGGAGGCGGCGAGCCTGCTGCTGCAGCGCAGCAGCACAGCCAGGGCTCATTCAAGTTCCGCTGATCTCACGGGACCCCGCCTCTGTCTTGTCGCCAAACAAGAAAATAAAAGTTTATTTTCATTTTAAAATGTTAAATTGCGTCTTGAGAAGTACTTTAAATGCGTTTTGAACGCTGCGAGCGCTGCGAGCGACTCAGGTGCAGCTGCGGAGCGCTGCTGCAGCGTTTCTGGTGAGGCGCCGCGGATTCTGCTGCTGTTGCTGCATTTTTTGCATTATTCTTTTTATTTAATTATATTTTTGTAAATTGAAATTAAAAACAGCTTTTAAACGGAGGCTCCAGCCGCTGCGCCCAGCAGACATGCACGGAATTCAACTTTCAGCTGCACGCAACTGGCAGTGCGCTCACCCCCCAGATGATCACTTGTAGTGAAAAAGAAATGCTAATAAACACTGAACTCGCCGCATGCAACGAAATAACTATTATTTTAACCACAAATATTATTATAATAAACCTTTTTTAAAAGAGTTTCAAAAGGTCCTACTGGGATTTGAACCCAGGTCGGCGGATTCAGAGTCCGCAGTGCTAACCACTACACCATAGAACCGACAGCCCCTCCGCACACTCCGATCTTCGCTCCAACATATTCAAAAAGAGCTCCAGGAAGGCAAAAGATATCAAATTTAAAACAAAAGATAATAAATTTAATTAATTTAATTCTATTTTTGCTTTATTTTCGCTTTTTAATCCATTTAAGAACAAAAAAGAACTTTTTTCCGAAAGACATTTCAGCCCGCGCAAGCGGCGACACTGGGGCAGCAGCGGCGGAAAGCTGCAACTTGAACTTCAAATTTTGAATCAAATGTTTTCAATTTTCCATTTTTGGTTTTATTTTTAATTTCTTTTGCACTTTTTCTGAATTCAAATATTTGAATTGACGCGCTAAGAAGACGCACCAGCTCTCGGTTCTATGGTGTAGTGGTTAGCACTGCGGACTCTGAATCCGCCGACCTGGGTTCAAATCCCAGTAGGACCTCTTTTGCTGCTTAATTTCCAACTTTGTTATTTTTATTCTTTATTTCTTTATTTCTCTTTTTCTTTCTTAATTCTTGCAGCTGCATGCCTCAAGCCCGGTCCTATGTGGTCTACTTTCCTTGTTTCGGGTCAAGAAGTGGCAAGCGAGCTGTCTAGACACCCCAGATTCCGTTCATTTTTTCGGCTTTTTTGCTGCCATTTTTGGCTCCAAAAACTCCAAATTATTTCTCCCCGGCTCTGAGCAGCAGCAGACATTTAAATGGCACGAAACTCTGCAGCAAATGGCGTTAAGAGCTGCTTCAGAGGCCCCCGGAAAGTGTCTTGGGGGCCCTCGAAAGCAGCTTAAAGTTCTTTCTTGGTCCCACAAATCACTCAAAATGCTTCTTTGGACTTTTCTGCAAACATTCTTTAAACAAATTAAAGGCTTTAGGGCTCCTTGCAGCCCCAAAAGTCTTTCCTTAAAACTTCCTCTACAGGCCAATGTGGCTCACCTTCATTTTCATCTTTTTGCTTTTGCTGTTCTCTACTTTTCGAGTTCTTAGAACCAACAAAGAAGTTTTGAGCCCTGCTAAGCAACTCCAATTGGTGACTAGCTAGCTACCTGCCTAGCTAGCTAGCCAACTAGCTAACTAGCTTGCTACTTAGCTACCCATCTAGATAGCTAGCCAACTAGCTAGCTAACTAACTATCCAGCCGACTGTCTAGTTAACTATCTATCCATCCAGGTAGCTACACAGCTAGCTACAAAGCTAGGTACATAGCTAGCTACGTAGACAAACAGCTAGCTAGCTAGCTGGCTAGCTGGCTAGCTGGCTAGCTGGCTAGCTAGCGTAAACAGAGCCCTTTATCCCAGTTTCCAAAAGAAAGTTAACTGAGCCTGAGAGGCCCCCGGGGGGCCCCCGGGGGCCCCCAAAGGCCCCCAGGGGCCCCTCGAGGGGCCCCCAGTGGCCCTTCGAGGGCCCCTCGAGGGGCTCTACTGGACCTTAAGGGCCCCTACGGGCCCCTAGAGGCCCCTAAGGGCCCCCTAGGGGCCCCAAGGGGGCCCCCTAGGGGCCCCCTAGGGGCCCCCTAGGGGCCCCAAGGGGGCCCTTAGGGGCCCCCAAGGGTCCACTTGGGTTTATTATTTGAGGGTTTTGAACCTTATTTATGCTGCTGCACTGTATGCAGCAGCTCCGCTAAACCCTAAATCCTCTGCGCAAACCCTAAACCCTAAATGAGGGTTGAGCCCTTGGAAACCCCAGGCTTCAAACCCTAAACCCTAGCCATTGGTCTCGGGTCTGTTTAAGTGCTGCAGCAAAGAAGAAGAGCTGCAGCAGCAAGCCCGCGGAAGGCTTGTTTGCTGCAGCAGCAAACTGTTTGCCGCAGCAGCAAACTGCTTGCTGCAGCAGCAAACAAAGCAGCAGCTGCTGCAGCAAGCTGCAGCAGCAAGCCTCTGGCTGGCAGCTTGTGGGGCGCAGCGCAGCAGCTGCAGCAAACTGATTTAGGCAGCAGCAAAAGTGCTGCTTGCTGCAGTGCTGGGCGAAGCTGGCCGCGGGCAGCAGCAGACTTTTTCTTTATTTTTAAAAGTAAATTTTATTTTTATAAAAGATAATTAAATTAATTTTAAAATAAAATATAAAATCTGAGCCTAAGGCCTCGCGGGCTTCCAACTGTAAATAGCCTTAAACCTTAAAGGGCCCGTTTAGATATGGCCCTTGATGTACAGATTTCGTAAACGCCAAACCCTAAACCCTAAACCCTAAACCCTAAACCCTTAACCCTTAACCCTAGTTTTCAAGCATTAACCCTTTAGGGGCCCCTCAAAACCCTCTGGGGGCCCCTCAAGACCCTCTGGGGGCCCCTCAAAACCCTCTGGGGGCCCCTCAAAACCCCATGGGGGCCCCTCAGGACCCTTTGGGGGCCCCTCAAAACCCTCTGGGGGCCCCTCAGGACCCTTTGGGGGCCCCTCAGGACCCTTTGGGGGCCCCTCAAAACCCTGTGGGGGCCCCTCAGGACCCTTTGGGGGCCTGCAGGGGCTCAGCAGCAGAGAGGCAGCAGGCCTGAGGAGAGCCATGGAGCTGTTTCTTTAGAAGCTCGGGGCTGCAGCAGCTACAATTTATAATATTTAAGAGGTTTTTAATTAGATTTAAGAGATTTTTGTGGGCCATATGCACCAGATCAGCGCACCAGCTGCTCGAGCGGCAGCAGCAGCTGCAGCAGCAGCAGCAGCTGCTGCAGCAGCCCGAGTAGCAGCCGAGGCCCCCAGACTGAACTCAGGGGAATCTGGAGTTTTTCTCGCTCAAAAGAGAAGTTTATTAATCTGCATTTCTCAATTATTTATTTATTTATTCATTATTATATTTTTAATTGGCTTTTGAAGTGAAATTAAACTCGAAAAGAAGCCAAAGTGCAGCAACGCCGCCCCCCAAGTCGGCTGCGGTCGTTGACTCGTGCCACGGGGCTCCTCGTTCGGCTGTAGCGACAGGAAAGCTCTCACTTTAAAAGTTGCTTCAGCTAAATTTAGCAAAATTATTTTTAAATTTTTAGTAGTTAATGCAGACAGAGCTCAGAAAGAGCCGCGCAACACTGCAGCAGCAGCAGCAGCTGCAGCAGCACCCGCAGCCGACTGCTGCTTGAAGCGCTGCTGCAGCAGGTACTCGCCTCCTGCTGATGAAAACAGCAGCAGCTTTCCTTGCCCAGAAAACTTAGTCCCGTGTCTTCAAGTGTTGTTAAAAGGTCTGCACAATCAGGCTGCAGCAGCAGCAGCAGCAGCGCAGTCAGCAGCAGCAGCAGCAGTTGCTGCTGCTGCTGCTGCAGCTGGAACAGCAAGGCGGCGCCTCGGGATTCTAGGGAGTGACAAACCAAGCCCACGGGACGTTCGAAGCTTGTGGGGCTCCTCGCTGGTGCAGCAGCAGCTAACTGCTGCAGCAGCTGCTGATGCTGCAGCAGCTGCTGCAACAGCTGCAGCAGCAAACGCTTTTGCAACTGCTGCAGCAGCAAGCGACGCTCCCACCCCAGTTGATTCCGTGGGGCTCCAGCCGCTGCAGTAGCAGCACCAACTGCAGCAGCAACTGCAGCAGCAACTGCAGCAGCAACTGCAGCAGCAACTGCAGCAGCAACTGCAGCAAACCAAACGCCAGAGCAGTCGGCTTTGCTGTTCAGAATGAATCCGCCACACGGGGAAGCCGCACAGCAGTTGCTTCTGCAGCAGCAGCAACGGCAGCAGCAGCTGCAGCAGCAGCAGCAGCAGCCGCAGTCAGTGCAGCAGCAGATGCCAAGACAAGTGGCAACTGTGAAACCAGCAT